TATTGCATTTTTCAATTCTTTTGCATTTGTAACTGAGTGACCTTCGTTGACATAGCTCTTTACACGTGCTTTTATCTGGGCTGCCTTTCTATCACAGGCACCCTTTCCCCCCTGTGGATCACTAAAATCTACCTGTGCGACTTGTATTCCACTTTGCTGTGACACTACGCCCATCGACAAGATAACTAGTGCAGAATGATAACAGCCTGCATTATCTTGCCTGAAAAATGCACGGGAGATCTTGGGATGTTGTTTTTTTCAAAGTTCTAAGTACATGTTCCATAATGAGTATAACTGTTAGGGACTCTTGGATACCAGTTTCAAGAACATGTATAAACGTTTGTGATTCCAGCTTACCATTGACCTTCCTGTAACAAACGAATAAATGCCATGATATCCCATGCTTTCCAAAAAAATCACTTTGCGCCTCACGGTACTGACTGGGCATAAATTTCATCGCAAAGTCTTGAACAATCAGAACATCTTCTGAATCTATCAATGCAAGTACGTCAAGCCTGGCGCGATCCTGATTAATTGTTCTAAGTTGGTGAGCCTTCCATGACAATATAGCTTTCTGCGCATTCTGTACCAGGAAAAGTGCTTCATCTTTATCATCATTACTGTTAAATTTGGCACGCAATACATGAGTAATAAACGTCTTCAACAACCTAACAAAATAAAAAGACGATGTGCCCATATCACTTAGTTTGCTTAAAGTGCGTGCATGTCAACATAAGATGACAAACATTTTTATCACAAGAATCTTCTGCAATTAGATTTCTTTCTATCAACATTTACGCACCTTATGTAGCTTTGAGCATCTGTCACATGTTTGGTTATGTTCGTGGTCGCACTTTGCTTTGTACTTCTTGTCTTTTTCGTTACTCGTTGCAAACGTTATACAATGATCCACAACTGTGGAGTCAAATGAAACGTGTACCTACAAAGTAAAAAACATTTTATATCCTGAGTGATTGTTACATGAAATGATTATTCTTACATTATAATCTCCCTTTAAGTACTGTTTGGAGTCCACTAGTGCTTCTTTCAGCTCTGTCGCTTGTTTATCAGTTAGTTGGTCATGGGGGATATTGTCCACAATGGCTTTTAGTTCTCGAAGGCCTTGGTTCCCCACCTAAAAAGTTATCCAAACCATGTAAGCATTTTCCTACAGACACTCCGCAACTCTCCGAGATAATCTTGAACAAAGTTCTCTTTCCAAGTGGATTGAAGTTAGTTTCTTGGCAAAATCTAAGGTACTGATCAATTAGTCGCGATGGAATTAATAATCTGATGACATTACGAATGTCTATTTCCTCCCCTGAAGAGAGATGCAATTTTCGTCTTCCAAACGGCAAATCTTGAATGATATTTTGGCTAGTTATAAACTCGATAAAGTGCTCAACCTGGCCAGTTTGGATCTATATGTTGTCTCAGTATAGTAGATTGTGATCCAATATGTATTGAAAGGGAGCTTGCTCCAAATTGGGCAGCATGTCGACGAGCTGCTGTAAAATGATGCAGAGAAATCCCTGGTATCAGCTTCTCTAGATCGCGGAATGAGAGCTTGTCTGCTATTATGCTTAATATATTTTTCTGTGTACTTGAATGTGTTGCCTGATTGTAACTTTCTACCATGGCATATAACAGCGATGAATCTGCAGTGGTCTCGTTATAGCGTAGGTTAATCCCTGGTGAGTCTTTTAGGGCTCGCCAGAGCAAACCTGCGTCATTAGGTGCAACTATCTCAAGGGCAGTGCTAACAATTTCTTCCATTTTAGATACATAGTACTTCATTGTTTTGGGTGTGGCATCTGTCCCCCTTGCATTAAGAGTGCGTTTTATCGGTGGGTGGCCATCCAAAGAGAGCAACTTGTTTATAGTTTCAATTTTCTCAGTCTTTTGGTTTTGAATCGCAACCTATTCGTTGCTGTCATTAATTGGACTGTGTTCCACATCCACCCAAGAGAGATCAGGCTTTCTCGGTGTTGTTGAAAGCATGGCAGCTGCAGTAAGTCTCTGTTTTCCTATTAATTTACTCTGACGATCAGCAGGATTCTACAAGAAAGGGAAGCAATAAATTAAAAAGTATTTACTATTGCAGATACTCTCTATGAAAAATGTTATTTAGGTATCTTGTTGGCACATGCTACCTGTGTATCAACCTTTCTCTCTTGTTCTCCAAAAAACTTCCTGCACTCTCTACACACAGCTAAGACGGTAAGAAAACAATCGTTTTAATCTTTGGAAAGAAGGAAGAATAATTTAAACAGAAAGAATGGAACAAGAATACGCATTAATAAAAACATTAAATTAAGCAAAATCTCACAAGGAAGGGAAGAGGACAATAGGTTTTTCTCTCTATATGTTATAAATACATATATCGATCTAACCAGATCCTACTGGGATGATTTGACCTGTTTCCTCCATGATGTGCTTCGATTGATCCTTCTGCAATCCTCGATCACCTCTAACTGCATTCCTATGTTGGGCCAGGCTGGTCGGTACTTGGCAATTTTTCCTCCTTCCTCTCCAAAATATCCCAAGAGAGTCGCGGTGATACTTACAAACCGCATACGTGGAAGCTTCCTCGAAGCCCACATCAAACAAACCTACAGTTTAAGAGCGTAATCCAAAACAATAGGTTTCAATTCATGCAAAGGATATGCATGTATCATAAAACTTGCCAGACCTTTCTTAATAAGATCGTTCAGAACATAATAAATTTAAAAGCAAACATAACAAAACCTACACCCAATCTGCAAGTAAGTTATCATCGTTAACTTAACTAATTTTAAATGCAAGTAAGCCGGCAGGATCAATGAATATGAAGAATTACTTTGTTGAAATGCTGCATTAAACTCGGATATCAACACTATTTGATTATTGATAAATCAACATAACGTAATTGTTCTCTTTCTGTGCAACGAAAAATAAAAACATCTTCCCACGTAAGATTTGTTTACCTGTGCGACATAATATCAGATCCATCTCATTACAGACATTGCTACTTTTTCCGACACCATACGTCTTGTGGTGTCTTTGTTGCATTCTTTCAGCAGTACTTTTACTCCTTTGCACGAGGTGCCGTCTCTTAAGAGATTAGAAAACGTACAGCTTTCCATGCTTAGGGGCTGCTGTTCACTATGGAAATTGGAAATAAACTCAAAAATGTTTTGAATTAATTCATATCCGGTTGTCGGATTTGTTAACTTCCAGTTTTTCCAGGAACTGCTTGGGATTTTAAGTACACTTTTGATACGATTTTATATGGATTAAAAACGATCTTGGGTTGCTATCTGAGCTGGATAATTTATTATATTCTACACACTTGTACTTGTTTTTTGGTCTATAAAGTAACATATTATGGATTGTTCATCTGTATCGATTGAATTTCCTACATCAGTTAAGTCAAATCGACTTTTTCAAAATGGACGCCAAAACTTCGTGATGACGAAGTGAAGTTGTGGGTGCTATCTGTGGAATATGTCGTCAACATATGAATGTGGTATAACCTGCAAACTAACAACAATTGATGTCTGTGAATGTAGTTTGAGGCAAAAGCAAGAAGTCCAGACAATACGTGAAATACTGAGCAATCAATCCATGTTGCATTAGACTCCAAATCATGTAAGGTAAGCTGTGTGTCGATGGGGTTTCTGTTGCAATCGCTAGCTTGAAATGTACACCACCTTTTCCAGCAACGAAGCCGAACTAATGCAGTAATTTTAAACAAAAGCTTTCATTTTATTGACGCTTCTTACAAGCTATTAATTCAGCTTCAAGTTCCAAAAATTTCACGTGTTTTGAAATTTACCTTAAATATATTTTAGCGCCGTGGCTAGAGTATTTCTTTCCCCAAAATTATTTTACTATATTTCAAAAGAGTAAAATTCGTACAAGTTATTGTTGTGTTTTCGTTTCTTGGAACAGTGTACTTCTCGACAAATTCACAACAGAATTTCAAATGATTTGGGGTTTTTTTTTAACTCGGCAACAAAAAGCAAACAAGACGGCAAAATATGGCTGAAATTGTGTTTTCGTGGGGGTGAGTGAAATAAAATGTATTATATTTAAAGAAAACAATGACAATCCTTATAAAAACTACAACAATTATATTAAATTAAGCATAGTTTTTTATCCCATGATAATTTTTTTAGGAAATAAGAACATTTAATTTCTGCCAGGCATATTAGTTATTTTATGCATAATTAGCAATTTACCTGGGGTGGGTGCATGGTCATTTTCTTGTAAAATATTATACTTAGACAAATTTTTCCTTTCATTAACCACCCCTAAAAACAACCCTTCTAAACACTGTAAGCACTTCAGAAAGGATGTTGCTTTTCATTTTCGGAAGTTGGAGCTATGTTGGCACTGCCGTTTCAGGGCAGGGGTCATTTCAGGACTTTCGCCCCGGATTCAGGTTTTGGCACATATGCCATCTTGACTGCCATGGTCATTTTACCCCTAAAACAGTGGAGATTACCTGTGCTAAATGAAATACATGCAAAACATCTATACAGGTCCTAGACTAATTAATTTATCCATTGCCATGCCGAGGGGTATCTGGTTTGGGGGGGGGGAGGAAGGGTGATTTAAAAAATTTGGGCCCCCTTCATTTTGGAGGCTCCCGCCCATTCAGGAAAGTTACAATTTTTCCAAAAAATGTTGGCAACCGGGGGGCTGTGAGGAGGTCAACTTTTTTTAACTCAATCTCATCTGATCGAAAAGTAGCAATTTCGAGTGGTGTTGTTAACACATATACCTTTCAAACCATACATCGTACGGAAACAGAAATTGCATCGTTCAAAAGAGGAGGACTTCCACTTTCCAACAATACCAATTTCAATTTCATCCAGAGCTTGGTTAACAATTTACTCGCATGCAATGCAATGATGCATAAATGTATCTAGCGCTTCAAATTTCAAATATGTCAAAAATTTTATGAATGTTGTAACAATCGTGACATTCACGTGATCGCAGACTTGTTTACGTTACAGTAATTTTACATAATTAGATAAAACCGGTTTTTCTTGTTTTGTTGACGAGATATATTTTTTTTGGAACATAAAATAAAAGATAAATATGTAGTTTTTCGAGCGTGTTTTTAAACCCTTTTACGACGAATAAAGCGAAAATAATCACCGTTTTCTACATGGCGCCCAACGTGGGGCGAGCTCACGAAGTAGAGATTTAGAATATGTCGAAAATCGACCGACTTAAAGCGATTAGGGCGGCTCATCGAGAAGTTTGCCAGAAACTCGAAAAGGAAACATACGATTTGTTATCACAAGAATTATCCGACGAAGTGACAAGTAGACTCGAAGTTATTGACTGTTTATTGGAAGGTAAACAAAAGACTTTAAACGATCTCGATAACGAAATTACTTCTCTGTGTAAATTAAACGAAATTAGCAAAGAAATCGAAGATTCAGAAGCGATTGTAGCGAGAATTATAGCGTGTCGAAAGAAAATTAAAGACTCAAAACAAGTCGTTAGCAATGTACAACAATCTCCCGTTTATGTTCAAACGAATTCAGCTCAAGATAATGTCGTTAAACCGCGTTTGCCAAAGTTAACTTTACCGAAATTCAAGGGCGATGTTATGAAATGGACAACTTTTTGGGACTCATTTAACTCATTCTCATCCGGTCGAAAAGTAGCAATTTCGAGTGGTGTTGTTTCAAACGCTTATATCTCTCAAATCATACATCACACGGAAACAGAAATTGCATCGTTCGAAAGAGGAGGACTTCTGCTTTCCAACGATACCAATTTCAATTCCATCCGGAGCTTGGTTAACGATTTACTCGCATAAATTTGCATAAATTATGATATAAAAAAATGTTGCAATTATGCATAAATGTATTTAGCGGTTCAAATTTCAAACATGTCAAAAAATTTTATGAATATGACTGAAAGACACGGTTATGATCTACAAGTACCCGACGTTTCATGCATGTAGCATAAATAGAAATATTTTTATTGAATTTTTATATAAACTAGGTAGTGGAGTAAAATTTACATTTTGTGCTCACATGAAACAAATACCTTTATCACAGGTCCTTTTTTATTGCTGCAACATGTTATCAACACAAATTTCCAATATTTCTTACTCTCCAAAGATAGTATGGCACTAAAATAAGTCTGTGATACCCACAAAAGAACACTCAAATCATGATTAGCAAAATGTCTTTATTTCTACAATTACTACATACATTCTTAGATAATCATTACACCATTGACTTTAGTTATTAGTGGCATAACCAGCCTCAAAATTTGGTCATGCTATTCAAATTTGAAATAATCACTACTCATTTGTTTAGAAATTGATTGTTTTCACAATCTAGAACATGAAAATATTTGCAAATAGCATGACCAAGTGTTGTTGGGCTGGCATCATCATAATTAGTAGTTATAAAAAAGTAATGTTTTCCAAGGCAGTAATGTTTGCTAAAGCAGTAATGTTTGCCAAATCACATAATTGGATTATGTGGTGAAAATATTTCCTTTATATTGTACTACAAAAGACCTAAGACTGTAACCAAACTGATATCAGATCACCACGTCATACCCAAATCTGTTGCGATGAATATCTGGACTTCTTCCTGTATAAATTTCAAAGTCGCAATATAACCATTAGGATTGTCTGCAGCAACCCACAGATTTATTCCCCACATAGTAGGTCATCTAGCTTTCATGAACTGCCTAACCCCAACCTATTTCTTGATTTGACAGTGTGTTTGTCTGCAACAACAATATTCTGTGACGGCTGGTACAGTTGTTGATGCAGTTTATTGCTGTAGTCTTTAGTACAGGATCTACCATATTCACAAACACCATAAGCGCTTTGTACCTAACCCGAGAAATTATGTCTATTGCCCACAGACCATGATATAAGGTTTTTACACTCCAATAATTTTCAATCTCACTGTCGACTTTAGCAAACCTGCATATTATACTAAAAGGCAATCAACCTCTCAAGGTTGGTGGACTGCAAGACCCTTTTTTATTAGTATATGGGGATAACTTTTGAGTTATTTGTATGTGGGCATATGTATTGGTATGGCCAGGAAACTACCTCCTGAAGCATTCCCTTAGTAAAAAAGAGTCGAATGAACTCAAGCTCACAGTTCATTGAGCCAAATGAACTCAAGCTGACAGTTGATCGAAATGGATCCCGGACATGTCAGTGAGGAGCAAAATCTGGGAGAACATTCCTGGCGTCAGGATCATCATATCCGTCATGTACTATGGGGCCTAGTGGGGATGCTAGACAGGGAGCTTTCGAAACCTTAGGTCCTAATGGCTGGGCTTCCCTCTACCTCTACTCATCCCCCTACCTTCCCTCTGGGTTGGTGAGTGTGGTTCTCATGACTCATCAGAACTCTACTTCCCTGAGGCTATGAAACAGGAACAGCAGATAGGAACAGGATCAATATATTCATCAGTGTGAATAAAAACTTTTATAGACATGGTGCCACTTAAAATTATAATAAGAGCCAACTAGTAAGATATAAGTATGAATACTTGGCTATTATGTATGTAACAAACAACCAAACATGTGCTCAAGGCTCATTTTACTTCGCCTAGGAATCAGAGATTCTAATGCCTAAAACCCCATAAATTTTCGTCAACAATATAAATAAATACCATTTATATTTGTCAATTTCAGTATGAAACGATTATTTCAACACAAAAAAGCGATATGAGTACATACTTGGTCGTACTAGTGAAGCTATACTAAATACAAATAAATTTACAACGCCATGGCAACGGCAAAACATTGAAATAGAAATTGTCTAGAAATGATACAAATACTTGCCTTAAAACTCCAGACACGACTCCCAATGCCAAGTTGAGATACTTGTCTTCATACGAAGACATTCCATCATTACTAGCACTTTCAGTTTGCAAAATAAAGCCAAAAACGTCTTCAGAATGCGATTCAAACAAAACTACAACGCAATACATTTCAACGCTTGTGCGTTCCCATGCGCGATAATCAGGAAAATTGCTCTAAAAGATTTGTTTTTCTGCCTAAGCCAATCAAAATCCGTATCTAGGGTAAACAAACACTCGGGAAGTGATTCCTGCAGTCTTTTACCAGGAAACTGTAATGCTTTACCAAGAATTTGGCGTCCGAAGTTGGCCGAACACTTTCCGATCACGAGAATTGCCATAATAGGCTTAGATTATTTCGCAATTTCCCGAGACTGCTCCGAGCTATAGAATGGAAGATGGCGATTCTTTTGGTATATTTGCTATTATTATACGTTGAAAAGAAGCAAAAAGACGAGCATTTGAATCAGGTGGAACATTCAAAATGCAACAGCAAAATTGATAATGTGTCATTTGCATAAATTTCACCGCATTGATCATTTTAAGGTAAGAAATTCGCTTGAAATTGAGCGAGAAACAATAAAATTATATGAATATTTCTGAATCTATAGTATCGATCAAGCGGAATTTTTTGGTGGTATTTTCGTATGTCTACTGCAAATACTCGCGAAGTTCTTTAATATTTAATCTTCCCGTCATATACGTCGGAAATTAATATTGGCGGATCGAATTGAGTTAATAGCGCGATTCATTCGAACGAAAGTATACCCGCAATCGATAAATTTAACTATTTAAATGCTCATCTCGAGGGTACGGCTGCAAGGGCCATTCAAGGATTAACACTTTCAAGTTCAAACTACACCTCAGCTATCGAATTGTTAAAGGAACGTTTTGGCAAGCCACAAATTATTATTTCAGCTCATGTTGACGAAATGTTAAAAATTCAAGCGAGCACAGATGGTCGGCTTTCATCACTACGATATGTATACGATAAAATCAGTGTAAACGTGCGAGGTTTGGCTTCACTTGGGGTACAATCTGAGCAATATGGAAGCTTATTAATTCCTATTGTTATGTCTAAACTTCCTAGTGACGTAAGATTGCAAATCGCTCGTAAGAACAGTAGTGAAATATGGAAAATAGATGAACTTCTCGAGGCTGTTAAAACTGAAATCGAAGCGAGAGAATCGAGTGAAGGGGCCAGGGCAAGTGCAGTTGACAATCGTAAGTTTTCTAATAATAACAAAACCCAGGCACCACTCGGAGCTAGTGCACTTTTCACAAAGACACAAGAGGACTTCAAGATTCGTTGTGCTTTCTGCAATAATCTACATTATTCTGCTTCCTGTGATGTTGTACAATCCTACGAAAGTCGAAAACAAATTCTTGCAAAGGACAGACGATGTTACAATTGCCTTCGAAAGGGTCATCAAGTGAAGGAATGCTCAAGTCAAAAAAATTGTAGACACTGTGGTAAACGTCATCACCAGTCGATATGTGACACAGTGCATGCAAAGGGATTCGACGAAACTAACGAGAAATCGAAACAAGACGACGACGTGAAAACCAAGGTTACAACTGCAACGAGTTATGAGAATCGAAGAAAGCGAAATAGTGTTCTTTTGCAAACTGCACGGGCAGTAGCTCTGGATGAAACTGGGAGACATTTAGTTCCAGTACGAATTCTTCTGGACACAGGAAGTCAACGATCATATGTGACTGAGGACTTGCGTTCCAAATTAAAACTGAAACATGTTCAACGTGAGAAACTCACACTCAACACCTTCGGAGAGAATCGGTGCAAGAATCAAAGTTGTGATCTGGTAAATTTACGCCTTCAGAAACCTGGAAATCCTGAAATTATTGAAATTTCTGCATTGACCTTCCCTGTAATATGTTCAGCCTTACCTTCCACGGTAAACATCAATGATTACCCACACATTCAGGACTTAGACCTAGCTGAAGACTTTGATAACGACAACCACGATTCAATTGATGTGCTCATTGGATCCGACTACTATTGGGACATTATTATGAGTGAATCGATTCGAGCAGATTATGGTCCAACTGCCATCAACAGTAAATTTGGTTGGGTTCTTTCTGGCCCAGTAACCAATTCATTATTTAGTGTAGACAACACCGCATCTCACCTAATCATCTCCGGAGCATCGGAATTCCTTCCATATCAAAGTAACAATGAGATTGTCACTGTGTTAAGAAAATTTTGGGAAACGGACAGTATTGGTATCAAAGATAATAGAGATATCGAAGAGAAATCCGAAGCGATAACGAGTGAAATTGTGAAACCTGTTTTTAAAGAGGATCATTACGAGGTCAGTCTGCCGTGGAAAGAAGATTATTCGCCATCTTCAACGAACTACCGATTGTGTGAAACAAGGCTGAGATCGCTACACCACAAACTAAAGAATGAACCGAATCTGCTTTATGACTATCACGAGATTATTAAGGATCAAGAACATAAGGGGATTGTCGAAAGAGTTGAAGAATCAACAAGTGCAACCGAGCAAAGTTTGAAACGAGTTCATTATTCACCCCACCATGCTGTAATTCGGAAAGACCGCAAAACAACCAAGGTTCGTGTCGTGTATGACTGTTCAGCCCAACATTCGAAAGACGATCGATCGTTAAACGATTGTTTAGAAGTCGGTGAAAATCACATCCCTCATGTGTTCGATCAACTAACGAAGTTTCGATGGAATGCTATTGGTCTCACCGGTGACATTGAAAAGGCATTTCTGATGGTAGGCATCAATCCCGAAGACAGAGACATGCTTCGTTTCTTATGGTATGATGATCCATTTGCTTCAAATCCCGAGCCTGTTATATATCGTTTCAACCGACTAGTGTTTGGTCTCAGACCATCGCCATCAATTCTGGGAGCTACGATCGAGCACCATCTTTGTTTGTTTCAACAAAGCGAGCCTGAAATTGTTGAAATGTTGAAAGATTCCTTATACGTGGATGATTTCATAACGGGGGAGGAGAACGACGCGAAAGCCTTCAATGTGTACAAGAAATCGAAAGAAATCATGGCGAAAGGTGGATTTAACCTACGTAAATGGCATTCAAACTCTCCAAATCTCTTGAAATTGATCGAAACTGACAAAACTTCTCTGCACGAACATTCCAAATCAGCACCGATTGTTAATACAACTGAAGATGACGAGTCATATGCGAAGTCGCAAACTACGATTGGGAATTTCAAAGAAGAGAATGACTCGACTGTTAAGGTTTTAGGATTAAACTGGGACACAACTTCGGACGAAATTTTCTTTGACTTAAGCGAGTTAGCAGAATATGGTCATGCCCTACCTGAAACGAAACGTTCAGTCCTTAGCCTTACTGCAAAGATCTTTGATCCCATTGGGTTCTTAACGCCTTTCACGGTTGAAATGAAGATCTTATTTCAACAACTTTGTTTGATTAAGACTAATTGGAACGATAAACTAGAAGGAAATCTATTACAAAGGTGGAAATCAATTCTGGATGAGTTGAAATTCCTTACGGACGTGCGTATTCCTCGTTGCTATTTTCAATCGACTCCTATAGACATACAAATTCATGGTTTCAGCGACGCCTCAGAACGTGCGTATGCTGCTGTTTTGTACTTACGTTCAGTTTACGAAGATGGTCGCATTTTAGTACGCCTAGTAGCCTCAAAGTCTAGAGTAGCACCGATAAAGAAGCAAACAATTCCACGACTGGAATTGCTAGGGACTGTTCTTCTTGCAAGACTTGTGAACAAGTTTACTTCAACAATTAAACCGATCAAACAATTAGAAACAATCAATTGGACTGATTCCACAACTGCCCTCTGTTGGATACAAAACGAAAGAATATGGAAACAGTATGTACAACATCGCGTTGACGAGATACGAAGTTTGACCCTCAAAGATTCGTGGAGACATTGTCCAGGTGAACTTAATCCCGCCGATATACCGTCTCGTGGCCTGAATGCAAAGAAACTTTCTGACAATTCGATGTGGTGGAATGGTCCATCGTTTTTACTCCGACCAGAGGCTGAATGGCCTAAACCTTGACCCGTACAAGAAGAGAATGAACAGGTTCTACAAGAAGCAAAAAAGAATGCACCAGAAATCACTCACTCGATGGCCAATACTTCGTCTGACTACCCTGTTGCAAACGTGGAGATGATAATCGACAGCACTCGTTACAGCACATTAACAAAATTACTTCGTGTTACGGCACTGGTGATGAGATTTATTTCCAAGGTCAAGAATCGTGTAAAATCGAAAGAGAATTGTGATTCGGTTCAGAGAGAATTGACTGCCTCGGAAATTAACGACACGGAAATTGCGTGGATCAAATCAGTACAAGCTAAACCGTTCGAAAACGAGATTCGATATCTTGCGCGTAAGAAAACGAAGGAAGAATGTCTGTCATCGCCGAAATATGTCACGCAATTTGGGTTATATGTAGATCAACAGGGAATCGTTCGTTGTGGCAGAAGAATTGGCAATAGCACCTTGTCATCGAACTGTATACATCCGATTTTACTTACTTCCAGACACCATTTTGTTGAACTGCTCATCGAACACACTCACAAGCATACTGTACTGCACAACGGTATACAAGATACCCTCACTGCATTAAGGGAACGTTTCTGGGTGATTCGTGGACGTGAATCGGTTAAGAAAGTTATTCGAAGGTGCGTTACTTGTCTCAAACACGAAGGAAGTTCTTACGGACCACAACAACCAACTGATTTACCAAACACAAGAGTCTCAGATGACCCACCTTTCACGCACGTAGGACTCGATTTCGCTGGTCCAATTTATTTCGATTCGAAAGGGACTGAAACCGTTACCAACCATTCGTCAAAGAAATCATATGTTTGTCTGTTTACATGTTCATCAACAAGAGCTCTACATCTTGAACTTTGTCGAACTTTAAACGTCCCGGATTTCCTGTTAGCTTTTAGAAGATTCTCTAGTCGACGGGGACTTCCTGCCACTCTAACCTCAGATAACGCAAAGACTTTCAAGTCGGCATCCAAGGAATTGCTCAAAATCGTTAGATCCGAAGACGTGAAACGTTACCTTCACAATAATCGTATCTCTTGGAATTTTATTGTTGAGAGAGCCCCTTGGTGGGGCGGGTTTTGGGAGAGGTTGGTTCGAAGTGTCAAGCGACCTCTCAAGAAGATATTAGGACGTTCGACATTAAGTTTTGAAGAACTCCGCACGATTTTAGTCGAAATAGAGATGGTGATCAATTCAAGACCTATTACCTACGTTTACGATGATGTCGATTCAATATCGTATCCTTTAACGCCTTCAAATCTGATATATGGTAGACGTATTAGTTCGACGCCGAACAGCGCCCAACACGAAATCATCAGTACTTATAGATCTCTGACGAGAAGAGCTCGCCATCAGCGAAATGTATTAATACAACTGACAGAACAGTGGAAGAGAGAGTACCTGACGAGTCTAAGGGAACAATCAACACTGAAACAGAAAAACAATACTCGTGAAATATCAATTGGAGATATTGTGTTATTGAAGAAAGAATCGACTGCCAGATGTATGTGGAAACTGGCTAAAGTAGTGGAACTGCTTCCGGGTTCAGATGGAAAGGTTCGCGCAGCAATAGTTAAGGTTGCGAACAGTGATAAACGACCAATTTACCTCCGAAGAGTTGTGCAACATCTTATCCCAATCGAGGTGAAGGCTAATAACGACCAAGAAACACAACAACATCCTGTTGTTAATCCTTCATCGCCCGTTGTCACTGACAATGAATTAAGACCCAAACGTAATGCTGCAATTATTGGAGAGATTGCTCGAAGAGAAAGGGACACATAAACTGTACATTGCTTGTTGTTTTGTTAAAGTTTATTACTAGAGTTAATAAACTTGGGGGAGTGTAACAATCGTGACATTCACGTGATCGCAGACTTGTTTACGTTACAGTAATTTTACATAATTAGATAAAACCGGTTTTTCTTGTTTTGTTGACGAGATATATTTTTTTGGAACATAAAATAAAAGATAAATATGTAGTTTTTCGAGCGTGTTTTTAAACCCTTTTACGACGAATAAAGCGAAAATAATCACCGTTTTCTACAAATGTAACTGAAAGACCCAGTTGTGATCTACAAGTACCTGAGTTTCATGCATGTAGCATAAATGGAAGTATTTTTATTGAATTTTTGAATAAATTATGTACTTGAGTAAAATTTACATTTTGTGCTCACATGAAACAAATACCCCTTATCAAAGGTCTTTTTTCATTGTTGCAACATATTATCAATACAAATTTCCAATATTTCTTACACTCCAAGGATAGTATGGCACCAAAATAAGTCTGTGATACCCACAAAAGAACACTCAAATCACTATTTGCAAAATGTCTTTATTTCTACAGTTACTATATACATTCTTGGATAATCAGTACACCATTGACTTAGTTATCAGTTGCATAACCACCTTGATAATTTGGTCATGCTATTCAAATTTTAAATAATCACTACTCATTTCTTTAAAAATTGATTGTTTTCACAATCTAGAACATGAAAATATTTGCATATAGCATGACCAAGTGTTGTTGGGTTGGCGTCATCATTAATAGTTATAAAAAAGTAATGTTTTCCAAGGCAGTAATGTTTGCCAATTAAGGCACAAAATTGGATTATGTGGTGAAAATATTTCCTTTTTTGAAAAAAATATATATTGGACCACAAAAGACCTAAGACTGTAACTAAACTTATATCACATCACCACATCATACCCTGGAAGTCCATGCTGCTATGAATCTCTGGACTTCTTCCTGTATAAATCCCAATATAACCATTAGGACTGTCTGCAGCAACCCACAGATTTATCTCCCACATAGTAGGCCACCTTTCATGAACTGCCTAATCCCCAACCTATTCCTTGATTTGACAGTGTGTTCGTGAACAGCAATTTTCTGTGGTGGCTGGTACAGTTGTTGATGTAGTTTATTGCTGTAGTCTTCAGTGACAAGATCTACCATATTTGGAAACTTTGCTTTACAGCGCTTTGTACCTAAACCAAAAAAATATTTCTATTGCTAACAGACCATGATATAAGGTTTTTACATTCCAATAATTTTCAATCTCACTGTCGACCTTTACCAAACCTGCATATACTAAAAAGGCAATCACCCTCTCAATCTCCTCAAGGTTGGTGGACTCCAAGATCCTTCTTTAATAGTATATGGGGATGATTTTTGGAATATTTGTATGTGGGCATATGTAGTGGTATGGCTGGGAAACTACCTCCTGAAGCATCCCCTTGGTAAAAAAGAGCCGAATTAACTCAAGCTCACAGTTCATACTTCTGGTGAAACCTTGATCGAAATGGATACTGGACATGTCAGTGAGGGGCAAAATCTGAGATAATATTTCCTAGTGTCAGCATCACCTTATCTGTCATGTTCTATGGGGGCCTAGTGGGGGTGCTAGACAGGGAGCTTTCAAAACCTTGGGTCCTAGTGGCAGGGCTTCCCTCTACCTCTACTCATCCCCCTACCTCTACTCATCCCCCTACCTTCCCTCTACACTTAGTACACGTTTTCCTAATGGGGGTTGGGGAGTGGGATTCTCATAACTCTCAGAACTGCTACTTCCCTGAGGCTATGAAACAGGGCAGCAGCTTAGGAACAGGATCAATATATATCTTTGTAACTGCAAATAAAAAGTTTTTTTATAGACATAATCTATATGGTGACACTTCAAATTATAATAAGAGCCAAATTAGTAAGATATAAGTATGAATGCTTGGTCTATTATGTATGGAACAAACAACCAAACATGTACTCAAGGCTCATTTTACTTTGCCTACGAATCAGAGTTTTTTATGGCTAAAACACCATTGACAATATAAATAAATACCATTTATATTTGTCAATTTCAGTATGGAAGGATTATTTCAACACAAAAAATGCAATATGAGGACATACTTGGTAGTACTAGTGAAGCTATACTAAATCCAAATAAATTTACAATGCCATGGCAACAGCAAAACATTGAAATAGAATGTCTAAAAATGATCAAAATACTTGCCTTGAAACTCCAGACACGACTCCCAATGCCAGGTTAAGATACTTGTCTTCATACGAAGACATTCCATCATTACTAGCACTATCAGTTTGCAAAATAAGGCCAAGAACGTCTTGAGGATGCGATTCAAACAATACAATTACAACACAATACGTTGCAACGCTTGTGCGCGATAATCAGGAAAATTGTTCTAAAAATTTTGTTTTGCTGCCTAAGCCAATCAAAATTCGTATCTAGGGTAAACAAACACTCCGGAAGTGATTTCTGCAGTCGTTTAACAGGAAACTGTAATGCTTTACCAAGAATTTGTCGTCCGAAATTGGCCGAACACTTTCCGACCACAAGAATTGCCATAATAGGCATAGATTATTTTGCAATTTCCTGAGACTGCTCCGAGCTATAGAATGCAAGATGGTGATTCTTTTGGTATATTTGTCTTTATTATATGTTGAAAATTAAGCAAAGAAACAAGCATTTGAATCAGGCGGAACATTCAAAACGCAGCAGCAAAATTGGTAATGCATCATTTGCATAAATTTCACCGCATTGATCATTTCAAGGTAAGAAATTCGCTTGAAATTGAGCGAGAAACAATAAAATTATACAAATATTTCGGAATATATAGTATCGATCAAGCGTAATTTTTTTGTGGTATTTTCGTATTTCTACTGCAAATACTCGCAGAGTTCTTTCATATTTAATCTTCCCGTCATATACGTCAGAAATCAATATTGGCGGATGGAATTGAGTTAACTCATTAACTGGCAATGCGCCCGGATGCGCCCTGAGATTGGCAAGTGGGTAACTGGCAATGCGCCCGCATACGCCCTCAAATGACACCTCAACTTGCGGGCATGATATTTGAGCACGTGTTTATCGGGTTGCCTAGCAACGGATACGAAAATAGAACGCAAAATTCGAGCTTTTCAACGGTGTATCATGCAAGAAAATCGGCCAAAAACTCGCAAAGTTTTTCAAGTTTAAAACCTTAGTTTTTCAAAAATAATGAATAATGGCGACATTGTTGCAAAGACGGATTTCACAGCAAGTTTTAAAAGAGAAAAAAGAAGAGGTTTTTGAATCATCTACAACGAAAATTTGGCATGAAAGGAAAGCGAATGTATTGACGTTTTGGGGCCAAGTTCTTCTGTGAACCATGCGCAAGATTTTCAGCCAAAAAGATGAGAATTTCTCCAAACTTTATTAAAAATAGAAGTCGGAAATCACAAGAAAGATGAACACGGAACTCAAGTGAGCATATGGCCAATTAAAAATAATTTTGAGTTTTCATCGCCGCCCGCCCCTGAAAAATTGGCCGCCCGGAATAATTTTTTTATTATTATTAAATCGGAATTGGTCGGAAGTAGTCGGAAACCGAACATTGGCGGCCATATTGTTTCAACATGCCTTTCGTTGTCGTTCAAATACGAGCTGGAACACAAGTTTTGAAGCCCTGGATAGGCGTACGAGTTCCAGACAATTTTTCTTTAAATGATGTTTATAATGATCTGGTTGCAGGGATCCTTGATCAAGGTTTGTATGTAAATGTTTAATGATTTAAATATGTTAATATTATTATTTTAATATGTATAAAAATATGCAAATTTTATTTCGATATTTGGCGCCAAAATAGTGAGGTCCAATATATTCCGGCACTATTTATATATTGCCAATTTCAAAGCAACAGCACATCGACGGCGATCTATGTTATTATAAAATATAAAGTTTTAATAACAGCATTTCTAACAATTTTAATATTTTAATAATTAATAATATGAAAAAACATATGATTTTTTATATGGTTTTTGAATAGGTGAGCCAATTGATGATAATTCTGCAGTTCAACTAAACAATGTTCATGTCCATGTTGGAAAGAGCAAGAAAGACCTAACCCGAGTAGACAGCCAGTGCACAGTGGCAGAGGTAGATTCATTGTGTTGTATATTTTAAATATTTTGTTTCTGCAGTTCTAGATCTGTGATCATATTAATAACGAGTGTACCTGTGTACGGTTTATAACATATAAAGAATCTGTATTTTTATTGATTATTAAAAAATAGGTGGTTGGAACTCTTGGCAACTTC